AAAAAAAAACTCTATGTGAGATTAACAAAAATTAGAATAGATTAGGAAGAGATACGAGAAATGTTTATAGATTTGGTTGAACATCATGACTAAAAATGATTGGAGCTAGTGGTTTAAAATATTGATCAAACCAATGTTTACAGATTTGATGAGTAGGCCTTCAAGAACAAAGACTTGACAAGTATTCATATGGGCCTTATCACATTTCTTGTATGAGAATTGTGAGAACAAACTTATGAGAAATACAGAATAAGGATGGGGTCATGAACTTATCTGAGACATGGTTCAAGGTCCAAGAAAACATACAAGTTGTCATCTTCTTATATACTACGACTCTTTGTTCCAAGAGTGCTTCATACCCATCTCCATGGCTCTAAGCATGACCCCAACATTCTCTGCTGCTTGGAGATTTCCCTATAAAAGATGATTGATTGTTGTTAGAATGTGTGGTTTGCCCAAGATATGATAAAACCTGCTAGTGTCTTGGTATTCTGATGCAACACTTTTTTTGCTTTAAGTAAACCTCATGCTGTAATCATTGAGATTATCCCCGATCCCAATGACTTTGAAACAAATCTCCATCCTTGACCCCAATCCCCATTGGGGATAAAAGTTACCTCCTCCATCTTTGATCCTCAATGGGGACAGGCCCCACAGGAGTTTGAATCCCTAAAATTTTTTTATTAAAATTATATTTTAGAAAATAAATTTACTTAAAATAAATAAAAATTTTAAAATATCAGGGTGGGATGGGGACTTCACTCCTCATCCCCATTTCCGCCCCTGCCAAGGCAATCTCTATCCTTGACCCGATGGGGTCAAGGAGGTTGGGTACCCAACATGGATGGGGAAAATTGACATCCCTACTTTTATTGCATTTGCAAAACCATATTTTGAACTTTTCTCATCTTTTTTCTTTTCATTTGTTTAAGAGAGAGGGGAGTTGAACGAGGTAGATTGTCCATTATTGTTGGTTCTAACTAGCTTAGAGAACTCAATATAATAATGTTTGAACTTTCACAACCATGGATCCATGATCTTAAATACTATGCACACACACATACACACACATAGTAGAATTTTAAAACTTGATTTTGGAGTTGCAATAAAGGATAAGGCGAAATGATTTTGTAAAAGTTTAAAACTAACAGAATGCTAATGGGGAAGTAGCGTGTTGGGATAAAGTTAAGGGTAGCTCCGTTCATAAATGAAAGTTTGGAACCAAAGTATCACTACACCGTCAAGTACAAGGTAGGTCTTTGTATTTTAGCCTTTCTTATTTTGAAAAAAAAGGTAATGAGCATGAACAAAAAGCTTCTTTATGTTTGAGAAGTTCTCTAACTAAAATACAAGCTTCTTCATTTGAAACAATAGATGAATTAGGGTACAAACTTCTTTTTTTTTTTTAATTAAGAGTATAAACTTATATGGTTAGAGTACACACTTTTTGTTTGAGAAAAGCCTGTAATAATAGTATAAAAACTTGTACCTAGTGAGTTTACACTTTTTTTCTTATTGAAAAGCTTTTCAACTCCTTTATAGGAAGATCCGATTATTTTTGACATAGACAATGCTGCCTCAACCAGCCTTTCATCATCATATATTTTTCTATTAAAGCTTTTGCAGCAAACCTATAAYCAAGACCCAGCTCAACAACCTATAGCTTGACTTTGAGAGATTGAAACTTTGGTAATTAAGACGTATTAGAGAATACAAAGGAATATCTTGATGAGACAAGATTGACAGACTAACAGCTAGTTATGGCAGAGTTTGAGATGGTTTAAGAGTTTGAGTTTGAACCGCATTTGTGTCTCAAAGTTTATAAATTGTTATAATTCTGATAGTTCAATAATGCAAGATTTTTACCCATTTTCCGTTACTTTTACATGGTATCAGAGCAGGTGAATTATACTTGATTGAACTCTCAACTCAAGGTGTTTCTCGCGATTCCCGTGGGTGGCTGACATCTTTGCCACTCGCCGGCTCGGGTGTAGTATTGTATTAATTAGTTTATTTCTGTTTTTTCTTGTTCCCTTCAGTCTTTTGCTTCTCATATCCATTAGGATTTATTTTTTGGTCTTTCTCTCACTGAAGCCAACAGCCTCCCTGTTTCATTTTATTACCTTGGTCTTTCAATCAAAATAGTGAGAAAACTTGTTTCCACGATCATCTAATTAATTAGGTTGAAGAGTGAATCCGCTGTTGCACCTGAGAACGTGAACAGTATTAGTATTCAGATTGTCCGGAGCCATAAGAACAAGCCCTGTTTCAACCTTGCACCGGTGAAGAGTGAATGGATTTGCCTTGGCCTTTCTTACCTGGATCCTGATCTTGGGGACACAGACACGACTCCTCCCTACACCTCACCCCAATCACAACAACCATTTAGGTTTCTTAGTTGTTGAGGCCGTTGCTATCTAATGCTGCTCGCCGCTTTGCTCTTCACATCAATTCATCTGTAACCTCTCAGGATCCTCTGCGGGCCCAATTATTCATAGCAACTGTGCTGATCGTATTCTTTCCCTGCATTGATTTCCTTCTCACCACTTCTTTCTGGTGACAATGATTTTCCCGCACTCTTGGTTTTGGTTTATTGTTCATCAACATTTAGCCCATTGGGGATCCACTGGGGTCTTTATGATTGACCCAATGTGGTCTTTATTGGCTGTTGTTGGCCCAATGTGACCTATTATTTGATCAGCTCAAAAAACCAACCTATAGAGGCTTTTTGAATGATTCAATAAGGTCTTTAATTTATTGGCCAATTTAATACAAGTCCATAGGGTCTCTCTCTCTCTGTCTCTTGAAGAAACGACAAGATTATTGCCATATCATCACAAGATTGCCACATCACTATAGCTRGCTAGCTTGGAGGTTTGCAAGACATCATTGTTGCAGCAATTTTATCAATCACTGCAAATCTTTGATCCCCATGTATTTGAAGGGGTATATTAGAGAACACAAAGGAATAAGGTTGAGAGACTAAGAGTTGGTTATGATATAGATTGAGAGAATTGGGATAGCCTAGGATATAGTTTAAGAGTTTGACTTTGAATTGGATTTGTGTGTCAAAGTTTATAAATTGAAGTAATTCTCATAGTTCAGTAATTCAAGTTTTTTACCCATTTTCTGTTGTTTTCATAAGATAGAAAACAGTTTTAACTCTCTAAATTTCTTTGTTCTACAGGCATGGTGGAACCTATGGAGTATGGACACACCCAACTTTCTCTTGTACGTAGTTTGTCTTTTCATGCACCTTGCCGCTATGCAGTTGTTTTCTAGCATTTCTTTGTCTTTTTTCTTCCCTTTTTATTCCTTCTCTTTTTCGACTGTTTCTTTTGGTGCATAAGGTGGGAGTTGATTGGGTACATTTCAACAAGCAAGAGAGCTAAGACAAGTAGGCATGATCAAATCAACAATCCTCAAAGACAATATGACATATGTCTCACCAAGAGCATTTCTCATCCTTTTCATAAGCAGTCCAGATCTGCTACCCACATGACACTATACCCGGAACATTGAGAACATATCCCGTGAATGACAAGATACAAGTATGAGAGATGTTTCCATGCGTGGTTGTATTGTCTTGTGGCCAGGGTTTGAGTAGCAAATCTAAGCTCTTTCATAAGAGAACCATCTGTTATGAGTTTCCGTTTGGTCATCCCCCTTCTAGGAGCAACTTAATTTGGCCCAAGCCAGACAGACTGAGGCCAGCCTAGAAAAGATGTTTATAGTACAGAGCTTTCATTGCAAGACTCAGCAGACTCTGAGCCAAGGCTAAGTTTGGTTCACAGGAATAGGGGTCTGGAATCGCAATCAAAATGGGCTATTCCGATTCCAACTATTTGGTTGGGTGGAATCGAAATCCCATTCCCATCCCTGCTGGAATGGCATTCCCCCATTTGAGGGAATGGCCATTCCCTGTCCTTCCCTTGGGAACAAAATCCTATTCCTGCTGATTCTAATTCTCATTCCCATTCCTGTCTGAACTAAACAGACTATGGGAATGGACCATTCTGATTCCGATTCCGGATGATTTCGACTCCAACTGCGAACCAAATGGACCCTATGTCTTTAGCCCAGTCCATGGTTTAATCCAAGATTTAAAGCATCAGTATTCCAAAGAGTCTGAATTGTCTCCATTACCATCCACCAGTACAGCTTTCTTTCATCTTTAAGATCTTAAAGAGTTCTTCCTGCTATGTCAGCAACATCAAATTCGAGGAACATACCATAATTGGATCCATTAGTTATAAGTCTTAAACTTTACAATATAGATTATTGCAATCATATGGAATATTTCAATTGTTCTATATATGACCCAGACGTTTGTGTTATTTTTGGATTTGACAATTTAACTTTCCCAATGTAACAATGACAGAAAGAAAATTGGTTTCCTTTTTTTCTTTTTACTTATTTTTAATTCAAATCACCTTAGAATCTAGATGTTCATTTTTTAGGCATCTTACATAACAATTACAAGTGGCGGGAAGTAATACTGAACAGAAATCCAACACTCTTACCAGTAAAATGAGTTCTTCTCATGCCCATTAGATTGAGGTTAGTGTTAATCATTTCTGAAATATCATGTAAGAAAAATAGGTTGCTTGGTTTGCCAGCCCCTCACATATTTTCATTAGATTGTACATATAAATTTCATCCAACTATGGGGTTGAAACTTATGACGGCATTTGCACTGATCACAGTTGGTCCGTTAGGGGTGAACTCGAGCTCAGTGATTGTTTATGAGCTGGGGGTTAACTTGTTCTAATCCAGCTAAATTGACTGGTCTCATTCTTAACCATTTTTATCTAAAACTGTGATAATTAGATTACTTGTTCTTATTCAGTGGTTCATGCTTACAGATTATATTCTCACTTTCCCTTCATTATATTTCATGGTAATCTGTAACCCACATCATTGGTCATGTCAGTGCTCTCAGTCTACTGTAATACTATCAAGAAACTTTGGAGGTAACAACCAAGGGAAAAAACCTTCAGTACTAACAGCATTTCAATAACTATGAACTTTTGAATGGTTGCCTCAGCGTTTAAGCTATACAACAAGAAATGGAATGTCTATTTTTTCTCATCCTCTGCTTCACTCTTATGAAGATAAAATATGAATTCATAACACAGATCACAATAACTTTAGCAAGTCTTGAAATTTCTGTTTCTAAGGGAGTGGAGAACTAAGACCTTCTTGATAAGATAATGGGAAGGATGGTTGCCTCTTGATTGTGGATGGTTTTCTATTGAAAGAAGGCCTCCTATTTAGCTGTTGAAGTATTTTCTTGGTGAAAATGGTATGGAACAATGGTGACGTTCTCTCCCTAAACTTCAGTATGACAAAGAAAAGTAGTCTGCAGGATATAAGAATAATAAAAACAGCAGTCAAGTCCATCCACTTGGAGTGATCCATCGGAATCCCAAACATTGTTGTGATGATTGTTTCTCCCTTGAGTTTAGGACCACCAGGTATAAAAGGATCAAACTCGAGCCCAATCAGATCGTTCTTGTACTGTCCCTGCATCATTCATTACAATTACAATAATATGCAGTTTTGGATGTAATCAATACAAGAAAATAGGCACAGGGCATGAGCAAGGAATTAGTGCTGAACAATAAATTAGATCGCTAAGGCCTTGGTTCAATCACAGAAATTGTTGGGTTCTTGAAGGATTCAACAAATTGAAGGGTAAAATCATGCATTTTGATCAATATTTTGCCTATAAAATTGAATAATCCAAACTTGTGTAATGATGGGTAAATCACCTGAACTGTTGTGTTCAACATGAAAATATTAATTATGGGAAATGTTAATAAGGTGCCTATAAAAATTTACCTGTAACGACCATGAAGTGTAACTGATATATGACATTGGGTAACGCCAAAATAGTTTGGGAAGATCGGGCAGCAAACGAAAGAATCCAGAGTCCAAATTCATAATTCCCTACACAGAAAAACCATAGGAGATGAAGGATGAAGCTTGTGGAGGTAATTGGTGATGACAGATGATGAAGATTATGATGAACAGGAAGTCTAAAACCGGTTTCCTTACAAGTATTGCAATTCCAACTATGACACCCATCAAATAGTTTGGTACCAATGAAGCAACAACCATCATGATGCCTTCTACAGTACCAATGCAGCTTAGTAGATTTGTGTAGGTGAAAAGAAGGTTAGAGAACCCTGGGTGGAATTTCACCATGTAGAAGGTTATTGAGCCAGTAAAAAGAGACACTGCCAACAAGAAAGGGAATGAGGAGAGAAAATTGGACAGGATGAAGACTGCATTTCCATAATGTCCATTTAGCCTTTCACGATAAAATACCTGCTTCAAATAGAAAATTTGTTAAAATTTAGTAACACAAGTTCCATTTTTTCTCCCCCAGTTCCCCATTGAATTGAGATTACTTGCCTTCATTTCTTCAATGAAAGATGGGAAGCCTCCAACGGAGAGGAATGTCATGAATCCTACTATGAAGGCAGCGCTATTTCCTCTAGCCATGATTGCATTAAAGCTAGTTCCAACATCAAAATACATGGTACCAACACCTAAGGATACCACAATGTAGATTATGATCCTTATCCAGTAGTATCCAAGATCCCTAGACATGTTTGAGAGAGACCTCCTAGTCAATGTGGAGAGCTGTCTCCACCAGCTAGCATCACTTCCCCTGTTTGATCCAATTACAGGTCCTTCCTGCATTGAACACACACTTGAGCTTACATTATATGAAATTGCTTTGACTACTCTATTTGATTCACAAAAAAACTCATTGGTTCAAATTGATTTCAGAATATTTCAGTCTTAAGACTATCTCATGGCATTGAATAATATTTGATCGCATCCTAAGCTTGCAATTCCTTCTGATGGTTGGGGGTAATAATTATGTTTCTGCAACTGGAGTTTGAAATACCTACAATGCATGAGAGTTCTCTAATCCGTCTTCTCGTATTTGTTCCATATTCTGATGTTTTATATTTCTCAATAAGTATCTTATTGATCTCTGAACTTGCCATATTCATTAGAGGATCTGATGATGCTTGAATTGCCTGTAACAAAGAAAAGGTCCCCATGCCATAAACAAAGTAACAAAGTACAATAGGATCATAAAATGGTAATTGCATGCATCAAGGAAAGAAATAAAACATTGAGGAATTTAAAGACTTTATGTTGTTAGCATAGGGAAAATAAATGTAGAAGAGCTACCATGACAACATACACGAAAGCTCAAAGAACCCCTTAGAGCGGCAGTTATAATATCGAAGTCGGTATTGATACAACGAAGGAAGTGGTCTGAAGGGTTTCTTTTACTTGGACATGGGAATCCAGCTTCAGAAAAGAACTGCATTAGGTAATATCAAACATAAAAGAGAAAACCCATTAGAGGTTTTAATCCTTAAGTGATATTGTTTGATTTTAGGATTGTTTAATTCATGCTTACATTGGCAGCCATCTGTGCTTCTCCAAAATAAATAGCTTCTCCACCAGAGAGGAGAAACAGATCATCAAACAATTCAAACACCTCACTGCTAGGCTGGTGTATTGAGGAGATAACAGTTTTTCCATCACATGCGATGTTTCTCAGAGTTTGCATCACAAAGAAAGCCGCTGCGCTGTCGAGTCCAGTAGTTGGTTCATCAAGAAACAAGAGATGAGGACCTGTAAGGATCTCAAGCGCAATGCTAAGGCGCTTCTTCTCTCCACCACTGATTCCTCTCAGATGCCAGTTTCCTATCCTTTTGTCTGCACAATCTTCCAGACCCATTTTGAAAATTGTTTCTTCTACCACCTCATTTACCTCCTCTTTGCTTAAAGAATCAGGAAGCCTTAAGAGGGCCGAGTATGTTATTGTTTCTCTGACAGTCAGAGTACCCAACAAAACATCCTCTTGTGTCACATAGGCCTAAATATGTGGAAACACACTTATATACTCAATTAAGAAGACGATACGAGATATATCAGTTGGAAAAAAAATCTATCAAATAGCTAGAAATTTGGATGTATGAATTGCTTTACTTACAAGCACTCCATAGTTTAAACTCTTTTTCTTCCCATTCATGAGGACACTCCCAGTCATAATAGTATTTCCTGCAAGTCTCCCTAGTGGAACCTCAAAAAGTATCAGTGAAGGTGAAAGTAAAATAAGAGAAAGCTACACCATTCCAAGTTTTCCACCTTAATTAACATTTACTTCATCATATTTTCTTCGGACTTCCCTCTTTTTTTTGTTTCTTTTGTACACTATTTCTATAAAAACTATAGTGCCTTAATATTCAGGTTTTTGGGTAACTTAGGCCATGTTTGGTTTAAAGGAAAAAGTAGGGAAAGGAAGGGCCCTACTTTTTCCTTCAAACCAAACTTAGCATTAGAAACCTTGCTTTTTCCTAAGGATGAATTTGTTTAGCATCTTCTTTAATTTGCTGCAAAGAATAACTAAGGATGAATTTGTTTTGAGTTTTAACCATTAAAGCAATCCAAGAAATGGGGGTGATCAGCTTATTAATGATATTTATCTTGCATCATAGTAAGAGCATCAAATTTATTGATTCTATTTCTATCTGTCAGACCTTGAGTAATAAATATTTATATCTACCAGTACTGTTCAGAACTATCCAATTAAATGCAATCCCTAGGATGGGTAATTTGATGAAGTGGGTGAAACCAAAGAAAAGTTTATACAGGCTGTGCTCTTTCAGGTGAATATTTATGAAGAATGTTGGTGCATTTAATTGATAGATTCAAGATTTCCACAGAAGGCGACTATTCAAGTTCTGAATTATAGAAGGGCAAAATCTAACGAGGCCCAGATCTAACATAGCTGCCAACTGAGGCTCAGTTGGTAGGTTCTCTTGTTATTTGTAGATCTCAGGAGGGGTGTTAACGGTCTGATTTAGTTTAGTTTGGAGATCTCAGGCCAAACTAGTAAATTACAGTTTGGAAAATTTTCAAACCAAATCAAATCATTTTAGCATAGAAATTAAATCAGATACAATTTTTAATATGATTTTTCCATTTTATTGGGTTTAACCCAACTAGAAAGCCCACATAACATGCATACATACATGTTTAAACACATTAGTCAATCCCATATAATTGGGATAAGGCATGCATGAAGATGATGATGATGTATTTAAACACATGTATAATATATTATATACATTAATAAATATATCATTAATAATTCGATTTACCTTTTAATCTGATTTCTAAAATAAAAAAAAAACAAATAAAATCAAAGCGTTTTAAGGCCAGTAAGATCCAACTACCAATTTTGATTTAGTTTGGTGTGGTTTGCCATTTAGACTATATAATGAACATCCATAGGGTTTGGGGATGGGTTACTCTTCATTATGCATCTTCTTTCAATAGAAAAAAAAAAATCTAACGCACTTGAAACCCTACAATTCCTTTTTGTGATGTGACATATTTGCGACTGACAAAGAGCGATGGTAGCATTGAAGAATACAAAATGAATGATGTCTAACAGGTACACCATCATGATAGCTCAACAAGAACTTGCTAGTGTGGTCACACCACAATAAATAGGCCACCGGTTTGTATTTTTTCCAGACCATAGAAAATTTCCTTTGAGGATCCAAGAGTTCCTCAAGTATTTAAGCTAAATAAATAATAATTTATAAAAAACATTACTAAATTGATTAAGTGGTAGGTATAATGCAAAATTTCAGCTAATTCATTACTAAATTGATTAAGACTTCCTCACTACCCTATATTCAAGCATCAAATTTCAGTTAATGTTCTAGAAAATAATTCAAAATAATCCTCTTTTTTATATATGTATATATGTATGTGTATATCATAGGATATGACTTTTCATTTCATGGAAATTGAGATCTAGTGGGTGAGAGAATAAGATCTGATATGGGATTAATTCTTCATTGTTTTGTATCAATCTCATAACATATGGCTGGGTATTAAAAATATCTTTTATACTTGATGTTATCATTCATGGGAAGATATTTTCAATACATAGTTGATCTATCTACAGTATGGGGCTTGATAGAACGGTAGTTGAAAGCTGACAACATAACGGCCCCAACTGAATCCTTGGGCATTTCAGATCAGCAATTAAATATGCTGATTGGACAAAATCTAGAAATGGTTGAAAGAGGAAATGCTATCTCTCTCTCTCCATTGTTGGTGCACATCAAAACCGTCCGAGTGGAACCATGAATATGGGTGTACAAGACGTTGCACCATAGTTAAGGGTGCAACTTTTGCCGATTAGGGTTGAGATTCTGTCAAAATTTTAATGGGCCCAACCCAAAATCTGGGCTCATAACAGTTGTAAGTGACATTAATTGAGGCAATAAGAAATCTCCAGTATGAATTAATCTTTTTTTTCATAAAAAAACCACATATTTCCATTTGAATGGGCTCCATTTGATTTTTTAGGTTGAAATATTTCCATTTAAATAGAAAAAGTGAAAAACAAACTTTAAAGGACAAGATCCAATTCACGCACATGGAACATTTATCTCCATGTACCGGAGAAATAAATTAAACACAACTAATAAAAACTAATTCTCATTAAGTTCAGTTTGGACAACACCTAGTTTGTACCAAAAATACCTATATATTTTTTACCCAGGAAACATCAAATTTTACATTTAAATCATTTACAATGTCATGCTTTTGTATCAGTGCAAATTTATTTGCAACTCAACCAAATACAGCCTTATGTTACTTTTTATTAACAGTTAAATATATCTTTATCTAATGTAAAATATCTACTTTTTATTATTTTTTATCTTTTACGAAGAGGTTTAAAAACGAGAAAAAGAAATTAAAAAAAATGTGAAGATAGGGAAGAAAAAAAAAAGAAATATGAAACTAATAAGGCTCAATTTGAAAGGAATACAAATACAAATATGTACAATGCAAATACATACAAAATAATACAAAATACAAGGTTTTGCACTCTATATATTTGTATTTGTACTCCTTCCAAACTGAGCCAAAGATGCATATAGCTGCCTCCTAAGACTGCAAATGAACATCTTGCAACTTTTACACACAATTGGAAGCAGGATTCTAAAATTTATCAAATGGGCTAATTTCCCTTGTTACTGAGGCTTGAGCTGTGAGTCAAGACATCAAAGCTTCGACCATCTTGTACCAAATTTGTATTGCTATGTGTAATTCAAGGATGGTCATGCACCAGACTCTTTGCAGGGGTGGTAGAGAGATTAGCACAACTTGAGCTGTCTTAATACCACTCCAAGGCTGGAAATGATTTGTGATATTGCTAAACAAGGAGAGAGAGAGAGAGAGCAGCCTTGTCAAGTAAGTATATGGTAGGAGTAAGGGAAGGAAGGGGATTACGTACCAGCCAAGGAGTCAAGTAGTGTGGATTTTCCAGACCCAGAAGGACCCATGATAGCCATGATCCGACCTGGTTCTTCATACCCACTAAGTCCTTTGAGCAGCTTTCTTGGTGGGCTGTTCCCCAAGTTGGCCACCACCACCGACAGGTCTTCCCATACTAAATACGTCCCCATCCTGTTTTTCCTATTCCAAACACCTCCTTCCGATGAATTTGCAGCTATATCATCTATCCCGTCGATCTCCATGCCTGACGACCACCACCACCAGCAGCAGCAGTTAGCACATCTATCACAAAACTCCTGAGTCCCGAGTATAACTACAAACTGCAGTAGTGGTGATATAATGCTTAGATATGGGCGAGAATGAAGTACAGAATAGGGGAAGGTGAGGGGATATGAACGTGCCTATAGTACACGATGGATTAACTCATGTGCCCACAACTTACAATGTTGCTTCTGTCACCTCAAATTAAGTAATTAAAAAGAGGTACAACGAAATTAAAGCAGAAGAGAATTGCCATCCTTCAGACTCTATGGCTAAGTCGGAAAGGAGTACAAATACAAATATATACAATGCAAATATATATAAAATAATACAAAATATAAGGTTTTATATTATATATATTTGCATTTATACTCTTTCCAAACTGAGCCTATGGCTGTTTGAAAATAGTATAAATATGTACAGTATAAATTTATACAAAATAATATAAAATATAAAGTTTTACACTCTACATATATATATTTGTATTTGTACTCCTTTCAAACTGAGAAGGCTCTTTTGTAGATCAGGGGACCGGGGAGCAGTGAGGCCTTAAATTTGTTAATACTAAATAAAGAAGGTACAACCTAACTAGATGAGAACTGAGCATTACCCCATGCCCTATAAATATGAAGGAGACATAAACAATGCCACCTAACCAGACCCAACCAGATGATCCAATACGCCTCTATGAATATTTTCTGCCTGATGAGTATTTCTTCACACCAATCGATGAATTGGTCACCCCACATCAAGTTTGGCTTCTGTCAGAGCAACTCGGTGCTGACACCGTTCAAGCAGTCCCTTGCAACTTTGCACTGAAAATATCTCTTATAAAATAAATCACATAAGAATGGAGATATTCCCAATGTAAGACTGTAAAAGTTGTTGGAACGGGCTTTGCCCTGATTGAAGCCGGATTCCCCCACATCTAAGGCAGAGTTTGGGATTACTTATTTGAAAAATAAGTGCTTAAAATTAAGTTCTTATATAATCTAACAAGTCTCCATGAGTGTTTAGTGAGAAATCATTTATTTCAAATAGTTGTAATATAGGTATTTGCAAAATGGCATGATGGGCCAAGACAGGCCAAAAAGGAAATAAACACTTAAAAATAAGCTAAAATTTTAGACTTCTTGAATAAGCTCTTATTCTCAAGAATAAGTTCAACTTATTTCCCAAATACAAATAGGTGTTAATTTATTCGAATAAACACTTCCAAACTGTAGACTAAGAATGGCTCACTGGCCACAAGTAAGATTAAGAGTTGACAAACCTCATGATCAAGTTAGAGCGTATATCATCACTATCACTATTGGAGTTGACAACTTCTAACATGGAACTTCATTATTTTCTGAGGGTTGTGTTTTCTTCTTCTTAATCTGATGTAGACCATCCTTCAATATTATTGATCATCTAAGTGATTGGTATGAGGAAACACTCGTACAGTATGAATTAAAATGTCGATCAACTATCACTATAAGGGACCCAGATCCACCAAATTAATAATGGGAACCTAAACTTTTACTCTCTTCCCTCCCTCTTAATTAAAATTTTCAAGGTTTGTATACTTGTTGGTGTGTTCACCAGACCTTGGGTTAGAGCTGATTCTTAATGGCCGTTGAATTTGTGGAGCCGAATTGGGACCGTTATGCTTCAATCCAGAATCTGTGGCAGAGGTTTAGAATCAGAGGAAGAGGACCTAGGACTAGGGATGCTAATAAGAACCAAAGAACCAAACCGAAAAATGTGGTTAACCAAATCGATTGGTTCAATTTTCGGTTAAGATAGAAAAAAAATTGGCAGTTAACTGAATCAATCGGTATATATATTTATATTATACATATATTTTTAATATATGTTACATACGATCTAAATAAATATATAAATAAATACATATATACTATATTTATAATAATCTATTTATAATTTGTAATATATTATAAATATATTATATATATTATATATCTATACTACCTATAAAAGAGCGAATGTCCCTTCTTTCTGGAATTTTCATTAGACGTTTTCTACCCCTTATCTAAGAAGCATACAATGGGCATAAAGAGGGCATATATGTCCTTTACTCTCACTCCAAAAACTGCCCACTTATAGCAGTTTAGAAACTGTTCACTTATAACTATTCAAAAACTGCCCATGAATTATAAATAATTTTATCTTAGAGATGCTGCCACGTGCAAATGCACATATATGTTTACTAGTATAAATTCCCAATAGCTACCCTATACTTTAGGCTGAGTGCCAATTTAGTATCCGAACTTTAAAATGCGACAATCTAGTACCCGAACATTCACTTTGGGACAATATAGTACCTACCCTTAATGGACCATCAATTATGTATATTAGGTGCCCTCATGTGCGATTTAAGAATTTTGAAAATATCAAAATTACGCTTAGAAAATACATTGTTCATCATCTTCTTTCTCTCTCTACATCTCGAATTCCTCAGCCACAATGAAACTCCACCGCTCCATCTCCTCTCTCACATATTCTTGCAAAGCGGTTTCCTTGAGATACAGTGTAAGCCACCTGATGCAAACCAACCCAACCCACGTCCACCTTTCACTTCGTCATGTGTTAGCTACTCTTAGTTCATCTGATCCACCTACGATCATGTCAAGTTGGGCGTTCATGTCAAGTCAGGCGTAATTGTCACTGGGCTCCTGCCACAGCCGTTACTTGCCAAGACTGCGCAGGTGGCGGTTGTGACGTACTTCTCGCCCGGGTGAGTGACACGTCTCCAAAGTGGTAGGCACGCCTCCGCCTGCCGAGAGATGTAGATGCAGACTGTCGAAAGGACAGGGACTGCGTCATCAGTAAGGGACGTGGCGCAGTCTGATCGGTACGGCCTATCAGATAGAAGCTTCCTGAGGAGTGCTCATGCGGCTCATTTGCGAGCTACTTTGTAGAAAGCTCAGAATACTTAAGGGTTATCCTTAACAGAATTGGTCCTGGGGGTGACTTGTCTGCTTGGAAGCTCAGGCGAGCTAGTCCCCCTAGCTCGCGAGCTAAAGTTGCCTCGGAGTATCCCTTTAAAGGTAGCTCGGGGAACCCAGAGCTCGTGTTGTGGCAAGCTCCTTTTGCTCGCTACAATGTGGCGAGCTGCTTTAGGGGCCTGTCACTTGGTTGCGCTAGGATACAATGCTGAGCTGTTGCTCGTACTGAGTCAGTGTCCATGTGTCACCGTGTCATCAGTCGGGTCAAATCGCCCTCCATCAATTGCCCCCCACTCCTTGAGATGAGAGCACTGCCTTAGCGCGAGGAGTTTATGAAGCATGATGGACTGATTTGACCGGAATTCAAACTCGATTGACTACCCACATTAAATGTATTCGCGGGAATCAAGGGATTTTCTGGCTTTCCTGACTTTTCGGATTCCGAAAACATGCTGGAGTGGCTCTTAACTCCAGACGTCATGCGGCTGCCATTACCTTAATCATGGAAGACGTGCCGCCAATCACCTTCAGTTTTCAGAAGGCGTGCGGCCAGTGCGCCTGCGAGCCGTTGGATCTGCTTTGATCTGGGCCACCGATTTGGGGGTGTGGAGACTATAAATAGAAGGGCCTTCTGAGCCTCATTTTCTCTCATACCATCTTGCTGTCTTCGGATTCTGAGGTCACACATTCATCTAGTATACTCGAGTTCCTCAGTTTATTTTGTTTCATCTCTTCCAGTGAGTCCTACTCACTGTCAACCATGTCTGGGTATCCATACCGCACCTACCACCGGGGCGATAACCAGGACGATGATGCTCCCTCGAGTTCAGGGGGAGCTTGGGAGCAGGTCCCAGAGTCTCAGGAGGCCTCCGGTGATGTAGCATCTTCTTCTCGGGGGAGGGAGCCTGACACTTTTGGCCCTTCCTCCATGACAGAGGGGAGACTTAGGTCTCTAATTAGTTATTTTCACCTTCTCAGGGATCTCACTTACTGCCTTCCCACCGGTAACTTTCCGTGGGAGCATGGCCCCAATGAGATAGTCATCTTCCAGGAGCAGCTTGAGGCTGGCCTGCGTCTCCCCCTGCACCCCTTGATAGTGGAGGTGCTAAACCATTTTAACGTCACCATCGATCAGCTTCATCCAAATGCCATTCGGAATATGGTTGGGACTATATCTTTGTGTTATGAGTACTGTCTTCCCTTGCACCTCGAAATTTTTGTTTCTTTTCTTTATATAAAGAACACTGCTCTCGGGGTTCCACCGGAGAGGCGCTTTTACTACCTCTCTCCCCGCCGCAGCTATAAGCTCTTGTATGAGCTACCGAATAAGATTTTGTTGGACAGTTTTGTATGCCCTTAGCTTCAATCAGAATGATGTACATTATGAATTTATTGTAAATGAATAAAAGTACATATTTGATTCATGTTCCCTTGGTATGTTTCTGTGTAATACCCTTAAACTGAACACCTAATGAGACTCGTGTTA